TATGTTTAATATAGGGTTCTGTTCTAATTACTCGCACATTCTCTGTTCTCTGTTTTGGTTCACTGTTGACTATCTCAATCGTCGTAAACATAAACCATGGCTGGCGAAAGAAAAAGCTCCAAGCGCACCCACTCAGAAGCGATTTCTTCAAGTACCCAAACTGTGACCACGAAGGAGGTCATAGCCCCAAAGGTCCTTGACACCCAATACTTTGTCAATAACGGATTTGACTTCATTAGCAAAATATAACCGATCATATACCACTTATAATCGACCACTTTTCGCTCGAGCGGTCATAACATCGCTTGAGCGAGACAGAACCCGAGAGTTTACCTTGTTCGAAGGCTGCGTCGCTCAAGCGATAACTTTATCGCTTGAGCGAGTTTATACCCAATGACGAAACGTCAAACGCAGTTAGCCAAATAATTTAACTTGGTTCACCACATATTAGAATCACTTTTCGCTCGAGCAGTCATAACATCGCTTGAGCGAGACAGAACCCGAGAGTCTACCTTGTTCGAAGGCTGCGTCGCTCAAGCGATAACTTTATCGCTTGAGCGAGTTTATACCCAATGACGAAACGTCAAACGCAGTTAGCCAAATAATTTAAGTTGATTCACCAAATATTAGAATCACTTTTCGCTCAAGCGTTCAAAACGTCGCTTGAGCGAGATAGAACCCCAGAGTCTCCCTTGTTTGAAGGCTGCGTCGCTCGAGCGATAACTTTATCGCTTGAGCGAGTTTATACCCAATGACGAAACGTCAAACGCAGTTAGCCAAATAATTTAAGTTGGTTCACCACATATTAGAATCACTTTTCGCTCAAGCGTTCAAAACGTCACTTGAGCGAGATAGAACCCGATGGTCCCTATTGGTTAAGGTTCCATCGCTGTTAACCGCTGTCTAACGTATGTTTATATGTCAAAGTGATCGACTATAATTGCATAATAATCGATCATAATTTTCAATAACCGATTATATTTGAGAATGATTGATTATACGTGGAGACATCGATCATAGTTTGTGCTAAGCGATTATAGTTCTAGATAATTTCGCTCTGCATCTCTCTCGCCGGCGCACGCAAAAGAAACGTTCGTTCTATGTGTTTAATTTTGGGTTCTGTTCATTTGTTGTAGGGTTTATTATGGTTGGAGATTTCGGTTTTGAATTTTAATTTGATGGTTCAAGTACCCACTCAGAAGAAAAACTCAGAAGCGACTTCTTCAAGTACCCAAGCTGTGACCACGAAAGAGGTGATAGCCCCAAACTGTGAAGGCGAGGGTCCCCTTTGGTTAAGGTTCCAGCAGCTGAAGCGATGTCATCCTCGCTTGAGCGATCGGTGAACCACAGACGAAACGTCCTACGCAGTTAGCCATCTAATAAATCTTGGTTCACCACATATAAGATTCAACTGTAGCTCAAGCGATTACAGAGTCGCTTGAGCGCGACTGAACCCGAAGCGACCTTACATAGCGGTTAATAAGAACCGCTTTTAAAAATATATATTAGATAGCGGTTAAACGTCAACCGTTGTCTAAGGTCTGTGAATAATCGACTATAACCTATAATAATTGATCATATTATCTCATTTTTCTAATATCGCTCAAGCGACTTTATCATCGCTCGAGCGAAGCCACCTCATAGAATGGGGATTCTCGGGTTGTGTTTCGCTTGAGCGACTATAGTCTCGCTCGAGCGATATTTGTCACTTTTAAGAGCGGTTAAAGTCGAACCGCTATCTAAAATTGAACATGTAATAGCGGATCCAAGTTAACCACTATCTAAAATATACTTTTAATAGCGGTTGGGTCTAGAACCGCTCTCTTTAGTATGTTTAGATAGCGGTTCTGGAACCGCTATCTAAAGTCCCAATTTAAAAAAAAATATTTAAATTTGGAAATTCCAATTTTATTTTCTCATAATTTGTACCTGATACACCACAATTTCAGGGTATATTTCAAATTAATCTAACAAAATGTGCTTAACTGAACATGACATTTTTGTGTTACTTATGTGCTAAATTTGTATAGCCCACATTATATGCTTAACCACTTGACTATATATCATTAAATGCACATAAACATACATGATCAGTCGAACAACACATCGGAGGAAGATACAATGCTATCACTATGAGATAAAAAGTAATGTACAATATAACATTATCACAGGCCACAAAAATTACATCATAAAGGTCTGCATCAAATATAAATTACAATTACAACAAAACCTAACAAAATAATTCATCTACACAACACTTATGTCGCCTTTTTTCTTTTCCTTGAATTAGTCGTCCACGGTGTTTTGACCATAAAACTTTTATACCTTATTCTTGGATGACCTTTAAGTCGCGTATACATATTTGACCCTTCAAAATGCAACTTTGATTCTTCTGTTGCTTCAACATGATGCTTCATCTCTTTAATACTACTACCTTCAAATACTGGAGAAAAGTACATCCCACATGATGGAGGATTTACTTCTTCTGTTGATAGTTTTGCTTGATCTAACAATTCGTGTAATTGTGTTACATCTTCCTCTAGTTTTTCAATTGTTGATTCCTGTTGTTTGGTTACGGAAATCAACATTTCATTCTAAGCACTAATTCCACACAACATATTAGTAAAAATTTTCACTTCTTCAGATGCATAAGTGGTATGTCCTAATGCTTCTTTCACTATATCATGAGCAAGCTCTTCATTTCTGACGCACAAGTCATGAATAACCTATGAGTAACAAACAATGTCAAATTGAAATCACATTTTGACATATGGTAAAGTAATATTGCAAACAAGTTCTACTAAATTTTTCATGAACTAACCCTATTATGATTAAACGCAACTACAATCTTGCTTTCCCCAATTACAACAGAGGTCCATTGTAAAAATCTCGGAAATCGACTTATTTCATTACATGATTTGGTATTATAAAGTACATGCTCCATAACCCATACCTGAATTCATATAAACAAAATGCACAATATCAAATCAGCTGACTATATTGAAAGTATTCTAACAAAACATATATCGTAATTTAAGATTTACCTGTAACAAAAACACACATCCTAGAACACGGAAGTGTGAACAATTTCTTCGTTTCTTCAAATAAATCGATGCTTCACATAAACTTCCAACCAGATATTCATACACTGCTTTTCCCCAATTATACTTTCCAAGACAAGATATATTATCTATTAACTTAAAAAATCCACAATGTGCGATACCTACTTCATTAGGGAATAAAAACTCGACAAACCTAAAAGTATGTACAACCTACAAAAGTCATCGACATCCTTATCATTTTTACGTTTAACAAGTTCATTAAAAATCATTTCCAAAGTAACATGTTTCCCATTAAATAGTCTCCTAGTATGACAATCAATGTTTCCTTCTACAATGTTGACATTTTCGCCTACTACACGAAGTCCTAAACCTAAACACACATCTAATAGTGTAAAGCATACTATCTCGAGACCTTATATTAAATCCTCCTCTCTTTTCAACCCATCTACTTATTAATTCACTAAGCAATGTTCTACTAATTTTGACCTTTCTACCCAATGACATCAACCAACTAAATGGTGTTGCCTCAATACGACTTCTTTGCTCTGTAGTAAGAATGTTATTCACTTCACCCAAATAATTAGTCCTGCAAACATGTCACAAATATACCTGAAAATCACATTAAATAATTATAATTATCATCAACAATATCCTATATTATATAAATGGATACAACATTCACCTTCTTAACATTTGAAGATCCATCGTCTATGCTTTCCATTTCAAACTGCAAATACATGTAACCCTATTTAATTTGAGTTCATAGTATAAAATTTATTTACTTGTCATGACGTTTACTACAGGTCGAGCACATTCATACAAGTATTTCATGACAACAATCTGAGTATCATCTAACAATGAATATCATAAAAGTTATGTCAAAGCATATACTCATTTTCATTACTAAGGGTCAATAACATGCAGTAAGAAAACACAATTTCAGATCACAATGTAGACAAACTCTAAACCCTAAACCCTAAAAATATATAATGCACTAACTCCCAATAAGCGCGTCCAACAACAACAATGGCGAATGGAGACTGGAACGCGAACTTGACGACACACAAATATATTACAATGTAATATGCTTCAATGTGAGCAAGAGAATCAGAAAGATTGAAAATACAAAGAACGTACCTTTAGCTTAATAGAAGACGCAGACAGCGAGAATGAGAGCGCAGAGAGCGAGAATGAGAGCGCAGAGAGCGGCCAAAAAACGCAGACAGAAAGAGCGCGAGGTTGAAGAAAGGTAGAGGGAGGGTTAAAAAAATATATGACTTTAGATAGCGGTTCACTCCTAACCGCTCTTTAAAAGTATGACATTAGATAGCGGTTATTTCTGAACCGCTAATAAAACATACTTTAGATAGCGGTTCACTCCTAACCGCTATATTATACGTATTTTTAACAGCGGTTTTTAGTAACCGCTATCTAAAGTTTAATATTTTTTTAATCGGTTGTCGAACGGATGTTTAAAATGGGTGTCAAAATATCGGGACTCAGATTTATATACATGAAACTCGGTTAAAATTTATAAACATAATTCAACAGTTACCTGTTATAGACTCACTCCTTCATGTGATTTACACAATTTGTATACTATTTTTTTTTTAAACATGAGATGAATTCTATAATTTTTGTGTAAAGGAATTAATGTAATAAAACAAATTTCACATCTTAAATTAGTCAAAAATAGATTAGAATTGAAAAGATAACTATTCAAAATGCAATAATCTATTACCACTTAAGAATCTCAATAAAAATTTGAAAATATAACAATTTTACTGGCTGGACTCGCTCCATGTACATATTTACATAAAAGTTGAACTTCAATCATTGAAGCATGATCATCCATTAAACCCCGCAATGGGTTTGGGTTGAAATGAAACATACACATAAGAACACTTGCATAGTACATTCAAATTAAGGGATTATTGACTAGGCCATCATTTGGTAAAACTCATTGAAATCAAGGACACCGTTGTGATCAATGTCGAAGGCACCGATCATGGCCACACACTCATCATAGGACTTGTCATCTCCAAGACGGTGCAGCATCCTTTGCAACCCTTTTGGGGTGATGCAATCACCACACCCTTCTTTCTCCAACACAAACATCTCAAAAGCCTTTCTCAAATCCCCCTCATCACCACCATCCCTTTTCATCAACTTGGTGAAATCGTCCAAGTCCAACATGTTGTCCCCATCGGAATCGAGGTCATGGATCACCCCTTCAACCTCCTCGTGAGACATGTGCTCCCCAATGGACTCTAAATACGACCTTAGCTCATAGGCCGAGATTTTACCATCTCCATCACCATCCAAGTGATGAAAAGCTTCCATGAGCCCGTTGATCTCTCCCTTCTTGGGGGTTGTGCACGTTGACATGGGGGATCGTGGAGAGGCACTCGATGATTGTGGTTGTGATGATGATGATGATGAGTTGGAGGATCTTGGTCTTCGGCGATGAAGACTTAGCCTAAGAGTTTTGTTCGAGAACCACTTGGATAGCTTACAAATTTTATCGGTTGCCATTAGTGTTATCACAAATGAGACTTTGTGACCTTTATCTAACGCATAAATAACATTGAGTGAGAGGAAGAGTAGAAGAAGGGTTTAATATAACGTAGGAGGCACAGGAAAGGATTGAGACGTGTTATGTTACATGATGTATATACATGCAAAGTGTAGATTTTGAGGGAGTTGCTATGAAACTGCGTTGGGGGGCAGAACCAAATGTGAATAAAGATTACGTAAGTGATGTTGTTGGGGGAAGGAAAGTGCATGGTAGTTTCGTAGCGGGTCCCAAAATAAGTGGATGGAACAGTTATGTCATAAAATCAAATCACTCCCCTTCTATTTTCCTTCTCAACCCAACACCTAGTGTTTAGGCGTCCCTTCTCTTTTGTCTATTCGTAAGAATTTTAGGTAGAAACTACAAAATCAAATACTTTGTTTCTTTACTTGAATAATAATCAGACTTTTAATTTATTTTAACTTCACAATAAATATATAAATATCAATTAATTAAAATAAATGAAAAATAACAGTTGCTTTAATTTATTTTTAGCTTGCATGTCTTTCCTTAAAAAAAAAAAGAGTTTAGTAAAATATATTTTCTAAATCACCTTAAAATACTTTTTTCTTATAAAAGAAAAGAAAAGAAAGTTATCTAAAGACAAATTAACGTGAGCATTTAGGGTCCGTTGATTTGGAGGAAAATTTGAGGATAGAAAATAGAAAATAACTGTTGTAGAAAAATAAGTTTTGAAAAAAAAGTCTTATATAATTTTAATTATATAAAAAAAATTATAATTTAATATATTTTATATTTTTATATTTTTTTTAAATTTAAGTTTAAATAATTTTAAAAAATATATAATTTTATAATAAAAAATATTTTATATTTAATTTTAAAAATGTTTATTTTATTTTAAATAAATATTTTCTGTTTAATTCTATAATAACTTTTTTCTCAACTAAAAATATATATTTTTTATTTTATCTCTTTTTTTCTCACCTTTTTTTTACTACCAAACAAACATGGAATAAATTTAGTCTCTTTTCTCAATCAATGGTTACAGTAGCTCATCTCTTCTTTTTCTTCATCAATCTTCTATTTCCTTGAATAGTGATCTCATTAAAACTAAAGTAATATTGAAAATTATTCAACAGATTTTACTTTATATTTTAAATCTTTATGCGTTTTAATTTTATAAATATTTTAAAGTAAAAAATGAGTTAAGTCCAATATATTAAACAATAATTTCAAAAGAGAAAAATACTACAATATTCATTGCAAATGATTGATCAAGAGGTGTATACTAGGATTTTAGCATGTTGCAAAATTTTAAAAGTATTCTTTGAATTCAATATTGTTTTACTTTAAATTAAGTTATCTGTTAAGGTTCCAACATAAAACCAATTGACAATATGTAGAGTAGTCTAACATGTATTTAAACCATACCAAATGATATGAGGTAGGCGATGTGAGACTTTCAACACACCCCCTCCAACGAAGCCCGCCGGACCAGGCAAATGGTACTTTTGACCCAACTAAAGGACAACTTTTGGCCCATGACAATAACCGGAAAGATGTTAGGCTTTGACTCTGATACCATGTTAAGGTTCCAACATAAAACCAATTGGCAATATGTGGAGTAGTCTAACATGTATTTAAACCATACCAAATTGGCAATATGTGGAGTAGCCTAACATGTATTTAAACCATACCAAATGATATGAGGTAGGCGATGTGGGACTTTCAACACACCCCCTCCAACGAAGTCCGCCGTACCAGGCAAAGGGTACTTTTGACCCAACTAAAGGGCAACTTTTGGCCCATGACAATAACCGGAAAGATGTTAGGCTTTGACTCTGATACCATGTTAAGGTTCCAACATAAAACCAATTGGCAATATGTGGAATAGTCTAACATGTATTTAAACCATACCAAATTGGCAATATGTGGAGTAGCCTAACATGTATTTAAACCATACCAAATGATATGAGGTAGGCGATGTGGGACTTTCAACACACCCCCTCCAACGAAGCCCGCCGTACCAGGCAAAGGGTACTTTTGACCCAACTAAAGGGCAACTTTTGGTCCATGACAATAACCGGAAAGATGTTAGGTTTTGATTCTGATACCATGTTAAGGTTCCAACATAAAACCAATTGGCAACACCTGCTGGACCAGGCAAATGGTACTTTTGACCCAACTAAAGGGCAACTTTTGGCCCATGACAATAACTGAAAAGATGTTAGACTTTGACTCTGATACCATGTTAAGGTTCCAACATAAAACCAATTGGCAATATGTGGAGTAGCCTAACATGTATTTAAACCATACCAAATGATATCAGGTAGGCGATGTGGGACTTTCAACGGGATCACTTGTCTAACATTACTTTTGACAATAAAATAATTATATTTAAATGAAAAAGATTGTTTCGACGTTAACTTACACTTTTGGTCCCTCTATATTTTTAATTTAATTTATCTTTTTTTATTAAAATTTCAATGTAGTTTTCTAATTTTTAATTAATTTTTTTAGTCTAAAATTTAAAAAGAAATGTATGACTTAATATATGTATAAAAACAAAAAAATGATAAAATAATCACGTCTGAGATATAAAAACATGCATGACTTAATATATTAATATTAATACATGTTTAAAGACAAAAATAGTAATAAAATAATCATGTTTGAGACATAATTAAACATTTGAGTACTTCTCTTTAAAATATCAGAGTGTTGTTGGTCTTCACGTTACTTTTTAATGGTTTAAAATAAATTAAGCCAAGTTTATTTTTAACGGTTGAGATTTTATCCTATCACTTTTCTGATTACTGAATTAACATGATTCATTGATACCCACAATTTTGAACAACATCCAATTAAAAATACCCAATGTGTGTACACACTTTTTTTTTTTTTTTAATCTATCCATCTTATATTAATGAGTCAAAACACAGCACTAAAACGTTTATGTATCTACATTTCTCTTTCGATTCTTTAATTATATATTTTTCTTTCTCTTTTTCATATTTTTACTATTTTTTAAATATATAATTTATGATAACTGTTTTTTTTCTTTAAATTATAACACTTTTATTATTCTCTCCAATGACATGAAAAGATCAGTTAGAAAAGGAATTCCCTTTGTATATAGTTATAGATATTCATTTTGAATTAATTATTTATAATAGTAATAATAATGATAATATATTAATAATTATTTAAAACTTATGTTTGAATTAATAAAATAGGAAATGGAAGAAGCATTAGATTTATGCTTGATTGTTGTAACGTACGGGGGAAGCATAACACTGAGTAAATTATGATTAGCAATTTGAAACAGTACATTGTGAAGAGAGAAAATTCTATAAATTATGAAGGACAAATATCAAATATAAACTGAAAAATGTAATAAATTTATATTTAATAAGTAACATAAAATCCTCGGACTAGATGAGACAAAAACCTATTGAGGCTCCATATACATCATTCCTGGTAAAAATTTCCTCAACTGTATGTACATTCTCATGAATTGCCTCATATTAGCATTAGTTTAGAAATTAATTACCTGTCATACGTTCGTGACATTTGAGTCCGAAATAGTTATATTGAAACACAATTTTATTTTGTTCCTTAAACTAATTGTTAGAGATACTCATCTTAGTCGAACCACTAATGATATTAAGGAGACAGTCTTGACAGTGATCAATTGAAGCGGTAATCAATCTTATCACATCTCCGTCAACTTGACCCAAAGACATAATATTTCCGTTAGGACCCCATTATCATGATCTTGAAGTCTATGATAATATATTCTAAGACCTGATTACATTGGTTGCCTACTATATTAATAAATAAGCACATTTATGAATTATAAAATATTAGATATGCATGATAAACAAAACACATAAACGAAGTCATCCTTAGCTACTCAAAACAGGTTGATTAATTCACTCTAGTCTAATTCTATAAGTCAATTAAAAAAATTTAATTGATCAAATTTTGTTGTCTAATCTAACTCTATGGTAGGTCAATGGACTAATAAGTTAATTTTGGACTGATTAAAAATAAAAAATATTTTAATACTTTTAGTCCATTTTAGTCTCCCTTAATTCAATAACTCGGTGGACTAAGAATGAGACAGGATATAGGCTCTAGTACAAAATGGATGTTTTATATCACTTAAATCTTGTTGGATAAAAAATAATCTGACTTAAAAAAAAGTGATAGTATTTTTGTAAATAATGGGCACAACTTTTACGTTGGCTTCTTCTAGGTTTGACGTAAAAGTTGTGTTTAATTCTCACACATGGTCATTTCTTTGTTTTGTGCGACAAGAGTTTTTATAGACCACAGTGACAACGATCCTTTTAACACCTTTTAAGGTATATTTTAACTATTATGAGTGATAAAAACATCAACATTCTGCTTCATTTACGGTAGTTGACGTTTCTTTCCGATTGTATTCATGTTTTAGAGTGTTTTTGTTTATATTCAAGATTAGTGTTTTATGTCTCCTCTTATATGTTCATATTGAATCTGTGATTGTTTTTGGGATCTCAAACATGTTATTGCATGAATGTCTTCACTAGATTATTATTGAAATTGAATTGTTGTAGTTTGTGATTACCCGTTTATTCGTTTGAGTATATTTTCGATTTATACATTACATTTACATCTCAATTACGTTTTTTGTTGTTTGTATATTATTTTTTTATACGAATTTAAATCTCTAGGAGTGATGAAAATTTATAACATAGGTTAATATACATCGAAGTTGAATAAATGTATGTCGTATTATTGAAGAATACAAAAAGGGAGTTGAAGGATAAATAAATGTAAAAGAAAGTCAGCGAGTAACTAGGGA